AATAATAATTATCCGTTAATTGATTTTCAAATGATTTTTTGACTTTGTTAGGCTTAACCAAATAAGGAGATAAACTAGCGATTTTAAAATACATACATTAGGTAGGTAAAAACTTTGTAACAATCGGTTACCGGAAAGTGCGCGAAACCGGATCCATCCCCTAAGTTTGCCACAGAATATTTTTCAAATTTAAGTGGGAACAACACTTAGGTACACACAAAGATACACAACTTCGAGAAGGAGGAACCAGTGCGTTCTACCAGTTATGTCCTTCGCAGCCGAGACGTGGACATAGACATAGGACATAGTACTCGAATATTAAATAATATTGCATTGTGCGTTCCCGAAGTCAATTAGGTTATTCTGGAGTTCCTCCGACTGGACGTCCTTAATACGCGTCCCATTCCACATCCTCCACGCGTCTTAGCAACCGAATTAATATGTCGCACAAGAAACTACATTACTATTGTAACTCAAAATAATGCTCCTTCATCTGGGCACGTCGGGCTTGAATTCCAAATCCAAATACCTCATTTGGGTCTTTTTTTAAATACGTGAAAGCGGGTACTCACAAAATTCCAGCCAGTCAAGTAGGCAATACGAAATGTATACAAGGTTCGAAGCTTGTCTTCACCACTATTTTTTAAAGCATTCTCTAAACCACAAGAGTAAGAACCCACATAAGCGTGATGGTATATAAAGAAGGTATGCAACACTGTTCTCCAGTACAACTTTGCATCACTACGATCGAATAACTTTTCATTTTCTGTTATTAAAAAGCACAAAATGTTATAAAATATGTTATTTTCTTTAAAAATAATGTCCATTTTTTTTATAAAATTTAATTTAAAATCTTAACAATACACTTAATTTTTTATAATAATTGTTATGTTTTTTGTAAAATTAAGATTGTTATAGTTTTAAAAGTTATAAATAACCCCAATAATTAAACACCCAATGGTTAGGGCGATATTAATAATTTTTATGTAATGAGACGGTAGATTGCAATATTTTAAAACTGTATAGGGTTGCCATTTTCCATTTTCTGTTACCCGAATTTATGTGTTTATTTTAATACATCACATATGAAACTAAATACTGTCGTAACCATAGGAAAGCGCACGGATTTTAATCCGGTACTGTGTCAAAGCCGAATTTAAATCGGGTTAAAACCCAATAATGCCTGCAATTGAGGGTAAAAACAATTTACAACAAAATATTTATTGTATATCGAGTTTCTGTGTATTACAAAATGTTTACTGCTTTCTTATTTGGACGATTCAATTTGCCTTTCTGTTGAATCAATTCGTTTGAAGACCGCATTGAAATAAATCGATACAAAAAATCATTAGATCGAATGCACTTGAATCGATCTTCGTGAGAATCCACGGAATTGCAAGATGGGTATTGTATGGAGATCATAGATGCCTCTCTTTCATCTAAAAAAGATTTTTCGAAATTAGTAGTAAGTATGGAATTATACAAATTCCGTACGCACTGTTTGCGCTCACGATTTTGGGCAGAAATAGACTAAATTTTGATTGGGTTTTAACCCACTACTGCCCATGAGAGGCAGAGGTCCCGAGTTCGATTCCCGGCCCGGGAAAAATATTTCGATGTAGTCGCGAGTTTCGCGAACACGCGTTTGCATTCCCGCTCAAAGTCCCTGTGTGTAACTCTTAGACCAAATTTGAGTTACTATACTACCGAATTTAGTTTTTCTGGTTAAAAACTTATTTATGTTGTTTCATTATTACTTTACAGAGTAAATGTTAAATTTCCACAAATATTTTCCGATTCAATCAACCATGCTTAAAATAAATTTTGTACATTTTGACAATGCAAAAGATTGGTGCAAGTTGTCTTATTACAGGTCATGATGTGTTTACGAAAGAAAGCATTTATGCACTGAGGCAATATTGTCATAATCACTGATTATAAGTTAGTAATAGTATGTGTCTAAGGGCTATTATAGGGCTTAGGGCTTTAAACATTTAGGCAATTGCATCGTAAAACGATTAATGTCTTCATTAATGCGAGCTATCGGTTTTGAAAAACTTTAATGGCCGCCATTTCCAAAAGTAAAAAACAAATTTCAAAATGGCGTATAGGAGCTTGGCCAAAAGACTAAAATCTGAATTTAAATACCTGAGGCACTGGGTCACCGACTACAAGACGTTTTGGAGTTAGAAAGGGAGCGTAGGGCGCTGGCAGTAGTGGTATAGCAACGATGTAAATATTGTCCTATTCAAGGCATATCTTTTTATACTTGCAGCCTTTGGGTCAACTACACATTAAAATCTCTTCAGCTGCCATTATTTTGCACTGCAGCGGGGATGTTCGCCATTGCGATTGAACTTCTTACCTGACTGTTTTAACTGACACCAGATTGCGCCACACATCGCGGACAAGTGCAATTCGTGTAGATTAGTTAGAAATAGTACGTAGTAGTAGTACTATTATATTGTATGTATGTTAACCCTTAAGGTATATATTGTGTGGGTCATGTGACCTGGACTAAATAAATAAGTAAATAAAAAATAACTAAGGTAAGCTAAAGACGGCTTTGCAACCATTATGCGAAAAAGAACGGTTTCTATGGTGCATGGAGTCCCCGGCAGCGGCAATAGCCTCCTGAGTATAATTGCAAACAGGATTGTTTTCATGAACACTGATCCCGGTTGCATATTAGTTTAGAAAAAAAATGTATTTGTAGTATTAGCTTTATTTTGCTTTGTTACCAACCCCTATGGATGAATATTCCGAAATAAAGATATATTTGAATTTGAAATCCTTAATATTTTTCCCTAAACTAACAATTACCATCTCCCAAAATTTCGGGTAAACTAAATAAATATCATTCTCGTTATGAATTGTGATATAGATGAGTTACATAAACAATCTTTGAAGAGATAGATAACATTGAACATTGATTTCGAATTGAAAAAATAAAATGTACGTTATACAGAGAGAAACAAAAAGCTTTAACTATTATTTAGTTTTTGCAATTTTAGTTATTATTATACTCTGTAGTATTAGATTCCACTACTGGCCACGGGTTTCGTCTAAAATAAGGTTTAAGCCATATAATAATATTCATCTAATTTCAAATAAACTTTTGCGAGTTGTTGTGCCAACACCTGCAAAAGTTTTTGAGTTATAATATTCTCTAAGAAGAGAGTTAATCTACCATTCTGACGTTACTCATACAATATCGTCGTTGCAAATTTAATATCTCCTATGTGTTAAAAGTAAAAAAACTTTCCTAGTATTTTTAGAGTATTTTTGTTCTATTTGTTACTTGGATAAATAATGATATTTGAATGTATAGCAAAAATGTTCTGTATCTTTGATAATGCTTTCCAAATATTTACAAAACCTCTTGTCGACCAAAATGACACATAAGAGGTTTTAATATTGCAATGACGATATGTTATGTTCATAGTAATTGCGTCAAGTACATTGCCGGGGTACACATTATGATTTTATAGAACAGAATGAACATTTCGGAAAGTAAATAAGATTTCAAACAATATTGAAAAGGAAAACAAATTTTTTAATACAGTTGCTCAAAACGTGGTATTTATCGTACTACAAATCGTGCCGAAAGTGGGAATTTTCGCACTAGTGCTTTTTACTTTTCCATTTTTTTTTTAAATTTACTGTTGTTTCAAATCTTCAGCACAGAACTAAAGAAGTTGTATATTTATGTGCTTTGTGACGTAAGTCATTCGTCATTAAAACTTATATTTATTTACAAATGATAATGAACGTATCGAGTGGAGGTCCACAGTCTCTGCCTACCCCTGAATGGGTGACAGGCGAGATTTTTATGTATATATTAGTTCTATGTATTACAGATAAATTTTAATTGTATCTCACTACCGTGCACGGGTTCCTAAAGAAGTTTAAACAAAAGTAACCGGACTTCATAATAAGAAAAGTGGTTACAGACCGATGTTACAGAAAATAAACAAAAACAGCGCGTTAGAACTAGATTTCCATAGTCTTTTAAATAATGGTTGCAGTGGTTGTATTTCATTATTTTAATTTACAAGCAGAAAATGAGTTTTTTTTAAATACTGTTTTATTTTACTTTCAATGTAGTTTTTTCGCAAATGTATTAAAAAACGTCGTTTGATGCACGTGCGGATTTGTCATTTTCACTTGTCTCGAGTCTCGTGAATAATGACTAACTTTCCGCACTTGTATCAAAACTAACTATATTTGTTATTAAACAAATATAAAATATATTTATAAGTGAAATTCTAAGGTATTTGTTGCAAATTAGACCCTAAATGTAATACAAAAATTATTTTTAACCGACTTCAAATAAAGGACGAGGTTCTCAATTTGACAGTGTTTTTTTGTATATTTGTGAACCGATATTAATGATTCTTTTTTCTGTTGAAAAGAGGAGTGTCTCAGTAGTGGTCTATTTAAATTTGAAGAAAATATCCCACCTCTAAGGGTAGCAAACTAGGGGATGAATGATTTTGGTAGTCAGTTTTTTTAGTACTCAGTACAGAGAGCATAAGGTTACAATTAATATAAGATGAAAATTAATTGTACAAAGCAAATAATATAGATTAAAAAAAGTAAAACGTAGAACAGATAATTGATGACTTTACTGGATACAATGTTCGTATCTGCATTGTAATCTATGACCGGAATGCGTGCGTCATTATCACACTCCCTACAGATATAATTTTCTATCTCTAACAAGTTATAAATTGTTATTTATTAAAAAAAAAACATTTAAAATTTTGTAAAAATGTAAATATTTTTGCTAACCTACGAGTGATATATGATTCTTTGGATTTTATTTCCTTTAATATGGTAATTATTGCATTTTCTAATAACTCACGATGGTATTATGAAGATTGAATAGAATTACTCACTTTCTCAAACGTCACTTTCGTGTTTTTGCTCGACGCAGACTTATTACAAGGCAGACTTATTGCATAATTTAGATAATTTTAAATTTGCAAAACCAGCTGGTAAGAAAATGTAAACGGTCATCTTTTCTAATGATTGATCCTTTTTTTCTGAGACATAAAATAAATTAAACAGTGATTTATATTTTAATTTGCTCTGTGCTAATGTTTGATTTGTATAAATTAACTTTGATAGTTTCATGTGAAAAATCTAAAACTATGTTCGGAAACTATGTATGGTCTGCTTTTTCATATAATGTACTAACCTAACCTACTAAATGGAAGGCGCAACCAAATTTTCACTTAGTTGATAAAAGAGGATCTATAGTTATTTGTTATGCAAGGCTGCGAAATTGTTGTTTGACGCGAGTGTTTGTTTTGAAACCTGAACAAGCGAAGGATAATGATTGCACCACTTCGCTTGCTCAGGTATCAAGGCACGAGACGCAAAACAACTGCCGAACGAAACACACATTTTTCACCTCAATATAGAAAGAAAAACAATTAAACTATAAAACATCAGTTTTTTTTCTATTCAAAGAAAAAGTTAGCCTTCGGATGCGTTCTGAGTTTACACCGCATAAATTTTTCTTCCTGCTTGTACTTTTATTTTTTATTGAAATTATTTTAGTTCTTCGACAAATTAAAATAATTGAATAAACACAATTAAAATCGTATACAGAGCGTCATTCACGCTTTAGTCTTCGTTTGTTCGACTGACAGCGAAGCAAGCAAAATTAGACAGTACTGCGATGACACTACAATTTAAATTCAACGTTTTAGCTTATTCATATTCCTTTACATGTCACTACGTTTAAATAGGTTGACTTGGGACATTTTTTTCGTAGTTTTTGTATTAGAACCGTCGTCCATTTATTTGTAAGTCAATGTCAACAATAACAAGAATAAAATGCACCAACGGATTTATATTACATGAATAGGTAATGTGTGACAAATCGCGTAGTTGAACGTATGATACCAAGTGAAGGAGCGAACAAGTTGCATTTCATTGCCGTGAACAGGTTCACGGCAATGAAATAGGAAACTTCCGGTCCACAAAATTTATTAAAGAAGTAAAGTTTAAAGAAAGGCCCTAAATGGGCCGAGAAACTGAATTACAGAAATAGATACATGAAGGGTGTAGACTTATAAATTATTACACATGATTAGCTTATTAACGGCTCTGACTGTTGTGGCGGTCGAGCTGGGAGTGACCGTGGTACGAAAACAAAATGAGAAAGTGAAGGAAGATGGAACAATTCAAATTTAAAATTTAAATACAAGTGTCGCATGACACACCTGTCCATAACAGTTGCAGTGCCAATCAGAGTTTTAAATCGCAAAGATCTGAGGGGCACTGCCACAGCGCCCGTCACCCTGATACATAAGTTGACAAGTCCCAAGCAGCCTTCTCCTTCAAAAACGGAATACAGTAATAGCCACATTACTACTTGGCGGCAGAAATAGGTAAGGTTAAAACTACTAAACTAGTTGTATGTACTGTCATTTGCGCGGTTGTGGCGTACGCAAAAGGACTTTATTCAACTTATGCCACAGCCATAACTGACTGTGGCGCCGGTTTTCAATGAGCTCTATGCTGAGATAATGCAAAAAAAACTGCTTAAATATTTGTGTATGTAAGTTTAATTGAAAATAGCAATTCCTAAAGATTCTTGCTCATTCTTCTCAGGAAAGTCAGTACAGTGAATGAGAATAGCCATTGACTTACAATTATATGGACGTCGGATCCGCGCTAAAAAGTGTCCGAACTTATAGGGCGTTAAAATCGTATACAGAGCGTCATTCACGCTTTAGTCTTTGTTTGTTTCTTCTGACAGCGAAGCAAGCAAAATTAGACAGTACTGCGATGACATTACAATTTAAATTCAACGTTTTAGCTTTTTCATATTCCTTTACATGTCACTACGTTTAAATAGGTTGACTTGGGACATTTTTTTCGTGGTTTTTGTATTAGACCCGTCGTCCATTTATTTGTAAGTCAATGGTAATAGCTTAAAAATGACGTTTTCAAATCTTAATGTATTTTACTTATGGAATAAATGATTCCTTAACTGTGACTTTAATCCATTGCCCATCTCTGTACGTATATAACGGGCTACTTACAATATACCAATTGTGGAAGTAACACGCGGAATATTTCGATACGCTCTCAAAGTTCTCCTTTGGATCATCAACACCTTTTACACTAAATACATTTACAACCGTGACACTACACACTGACACTATAATTGCGTAAATATAAAAAAATATGCGAAAAAATGACTTAAGACCAACATTGTTAGAACACGGTTCCTTGTTTTCACAAGTTGACAAAATTTTTGATAGCATTGCTGTTTTTGTTTATTTACAATTAATAGATTCAGGCGTTACTTTGTAGAAGTCCATGTTAACAAAAATGGAAGTTAATTTGTTAGTTGCTACTCCTCGAACCCAAAATATATTGG